GAGAGGAGAGAGGGAGAGAGGGAGAGAGGGAGAGAGGGAGAGAGAGAGAGAGAGAGAGAGAGAGAGAGAGAGAGAGAGAGAGAGAGGATTTGCTCCTACCAGAGTTCTGGGATAAGGTTAGCAGCAACACCAACAGCAACCGTGCTGAGAGGGAGGGGGGAGTGTGTTGGAGGACAGTAAGCGGGTGGAGGTCAGTAGATGACACTTGAGAGCCTAGGTGCCCAATGTAGTCACTGCCCATCGATTTGTTTGGCCGTTCAGGTGTGAGCTGTTGATGAGCCTGTAGACGCGTTGTGTTGCATCGCGTCAAGGGTGGGACCAGTGCCACTGGTTCAGCTGCAGGTGAGCACCCCTGCCCAGAGAAGGAAAGGAGGGGCTGCACTGGCTTCCCAGTTTAGGTCTTCTTCTTCAGAGAAGGGGACTCCCCCTCCCTCTTTGCTCACTTCATCCCCGTGTCCTCTCTGCCTCTCTATCTCCCTTAGTTTCTTGGTTTCTGTATCTCAGCGTCTGCCTTCAACCTCTCAGACTCAGTCTGGAGCGTTCTTTTCGTCCAATCCCGGGTGGGTGCTGGCTTCTCAGCTAGCTCTGGCTGTCCTGTCTGTTGGTAGTACTCAGAACGCACCAGCTTACTCTATTAGGAAAAGGACGTGGAAAGTATACCTGAGGCATGTGGCTATTTCCCTAGACCCAGGGTGGCCCTTGATAGTGGGGCGGCTCCATCCACTCATGCCTGGGGGTGCTTTCTAACCCTTCTGTTGCCTCTCTCCATCAGCGCACCGTCCAGGTGATGCACCTGACGCTGTGGGTTCAGGCCATCCTCCACCTCCTGAGGTGCCTTCCAGGTGAGTGGACCCTCACCCCTTCCAACCCTCAGGTCTCTCCCAACTGCCCTGCTGAGAGTTAAAGGAGAAGCGAGGCTGCCCCAGTGAAGCTAGCCTGCTGACCCTTTGGTCCATTAAAAAGTGTCTGGAGGGTCTGGGAGGCCCCTTGGGTGGCCGCGGTTCCTAGGCTGGCTTGGGGCTGCATCCCGGTCTAGAGACCCTGCCTTTCAAGGCTGGTGGCCGATGGGGTCGCAGGCAGGGCAGAGCAGCTTCTCCTTTAAGACCAGAGCTCCTCGTCGCCGTGAGTGTGAGGGTGTGTGAGTGTGCGGCGTGCGTGTCTCCTCCTCCCCGAGTGACACAGCAGTGAGAAATGCCTATCAGTAACTTAAACCCCCGAAACTCCACCTTCCGGGCGCCCGGCGCGGAGCCGGGCGGTGGGAATGGAGCGAGCAGATTGAGGCCGCCACTGCAGCGCCGCCAGCATGAACTTGGCCGCGAGCTGAAGCGGCGGCGGCGGGCGGGCGCGGGGGCACCGGCCGCTAGCCAGGGGGTAATCTTCAACCCGACTGGGCCACTAGGCCGGCGCCTACGTGTAGGCTGCCCTTGCTGGCGGCCGTCCGCCCCTCCGGCTCTGCCCTGGCCGCCGCTGGAGCTCCGCAACACGGTAAGGGTGAAGGCGGGTGCGGGAGGTCCGACTGCTGGGGGTGGTTCTAGGGTGCACTCAGAGCCCCAATTTATGGTCCCATCGTTGAGGATCCGGGGCCCCGGGGTGCTGTGAGCTGGGAGACCCCAAAGTTTGCTTTGAGCACACTGTCCACCTGGCTCTGGGGGCTGGCCACCCCTCTCTCGCGCTGGCCTAACTAGGGTGAGCACAGCTCTCACTGTCCGGGGTCTTTGGCCCCTGCCTCCTTCTAGGCGCCCCAGCGGGCGTCTAAAACTGGGTGGAGGCAGCTGCATTGGGGAGGCAAGGCAGAGGGGCTCAAGCTGCGCGGGCTCCCCCAGCTGCGATAGGCTAGCAGAAGGCTCCCACTCCATCCCTACACCCCTGGGCCTCTAGCTCACAGCCCAAGGTGCCACCAGAGACGCTGTCTTCCCGTGCCAGCTCCCTGAGCCCAGCAGTGGCCACCGGGCGAGAAATTCCCCCACCCCAAACCAATTTGCCGCCGCGGAGCGGAGTGTGGGGTGTGCGCCTTGCCCTCCGCTCCCGCCTGCCAACTCCTCCTCAAGAAAGCAACCTGGAGTGGAGCTGGCGGCTGGAGGCAGCCCCTCTAGTCTCCCACCCCGCGCTCCCAGAGCTGCTGCGTAGGACTCTGCGCTCCGGGCTCCTGGGCGTTCTCTCCGCGGCGGAGACCGGCGCCAGGCTCTGCCTAGGGCGGGTGGGAAGCCCCCCGGAGCGCCGCCAAATACTTTTCTTGGCCAGTTGGCTTGGCCAGGTTCCGTCCTGATGCAGTGTGTCCGAAGCCTGGAAAGCTAGCGGTGCTGCCTGATTCTGATCCTTGATTAAATTCGGACTGAGCGGACACTAATAGGATTACTCAGACTGAAAACTCGGCCCTAAGCCGTCGGAACCTGGGCAAACAGACGCTCCTGGACCTGGAGGATTCACTCCCCACCGGGTTCCTGCATCTGGGTGCGGCTGAGCGAGACACCCCGAATGTGGGTGTGTGTGCGCGGGCAGGAGCTCTGAGTGGCTAGCGGACCTGAGTAGAAGGGACTCTACTTGCTGGGGTAGCTTGTCCTTGTTGTTTGGCAGCAGGACGAACCCCCTAGAGCACCGTCCCCAAGCCAAATGTGCCCTTTGCTGATAGCCGACCAAGGCAGGTTCCGGGACATTGTCTGCGAGGGCGAGAGAGCCTAGGAGAGGAGAGGCGGTCGTGCTGTAACAAAGAAGCAAAGTCTCCACAAGCCCGAGCAATTTTGAAAGAGTTTGCTAGGGAGAGGGCCAGGGTCTTCCAGGGAAGACCCCCGCGGGAATCACGCCTCCCCCATCCGCCCCGGGCCATGGCTGCTACTAGTGTTCCCCGCCTGATGTGGGCGGGTGGGCGCATCGCAGTGCCTCGGCCCAGTTTCTTGGCAGGCGCAGGCTGTCGCCTGGGTGCCCACTGGCCGGGCGGGGTCGACCATGCACCCACCAGGGCTTCCCGGCTGCCACCGCAGCTCTGGGCCGCTGGAGGCCGTGCAGCTTCTCTCCTTCCCTCCCTCCCACCTCCTCTTGTCTTTATAGATTCCCCCTCCC